GTGTCTTGTATTGGCGCCGTGATGGAGCCATGAAATTGATAAGATGCCGTGATGGTGTCTTTTACTGGCGCCGTGATGGTGTGCCAAAAACAAAACGGCCATGGGGGTCTGTTTCATCCAGGGGCAAACATGTTTTGTGGGGTTTGGCACTTCACTGTCACTAACCAATCAGTATTGTATGGATAGTTTTAGATGGGGACCAAAACTATGAGACAAAATATTCTTGAAGACTTTGAATGGTTCTTTCTGGTGTTTGTTAGCTTTGAACCTGGGAGCCTTCAAGCCCAGAAAAATGGCCCAAAAACTAACATTTTGTTTGGCCATACCCATGTAAAGCCCAGGGGGTAGAAACTCCATCCTGACAGCGCGCGATGCTGAGGTATGGACTTGGTGGGTATCTTAATCTTCACTGTTGCATGGCACTGTCACAGCATCATGAATGCATGACACCATCATGGCATCAATGTTTGTGGCACCATAAAGGCGTCACTTTTTTGACACCAGTAAAGCATCAATTTTGTGACACCATGAAGGCATCACTTTTTGACACCAGTAAGGCATCAAGTTTGTGACACCATGAAGGCATCACTTTTTTGACACCAATAAGGCATCAATCTTGTGACACCATTAAGGCATCACTTTTGTGACACCATTGAGGCATCACCTATTTGACACCATAAAGGCATCATTATGACACCATTAAGGCATCACTTATTTGACACCACTGAGGCATCATTGTGACACCATTAAGACATCATTTTTGACTGAGGCTGAGGCATAGTCGTAGTGGTAGTCGTCGTTGTAGTCGTAGTCTCATGTCACTGTTAAGGTGGCATTTTTCACACCATGAGCATTTTGTAGTTATCAGGCATCAACTTGTGACATCATTAAACACGGTTTCTTTATCACAGTGTCAACTCTTTCCCTTTGAACCCTTGAACCTTGCAGGTCTTTTGATTTTGGTAGCATGGTGGAAATATTAAAGTATTAAGCCAGCGTTTTTCTATTAAAACACATGGGTTGTAACTTGCCAGCCCTGACCGTGCGCATTTTGGTAAAGGTGCATTTTGGGCCAATGTTAAATGGAGGCACAAAAACAAAACACAAACCCTAAGAGTTTAAGTTTTTGGTAGCATGGTGGACATATTAAAGTATTAAGCCAGTGTTTTTGTATTAAAACACATGGGTTGTTACTTGCCAGCCCTGACCGTGCGCATTTTGGTAAAGGTGCATTTTGGGGCAATGTTGTATGGAGGCACAAAAACAAAACACAAACCCTAAGAGTTTAAGTTTGGAAAGAACAAACTGTGAAAAATGGTGAGCAAGTGAAACAAAACACAAACCCTAAGAGTTTAAGTTTATAAAGAACAAATTGTGAAACAAACGGTGAGCAAGTAAAACAAAACACAAACCCTAAGAGTTTAAGTTTAGAAAGAACAAATTGTGAAAAACAGGGTGAGCAAGTAAAAACTTTTTGGTTTGATTCAAAGCCACATCTGAGGTTTTTTTAAAAAAACTCAAAGACCTTTTACAACAACAAAAGCTTCTCTGCGGTGCGACGGGTGCGAGACGGTCTCGTGTGTGGTCGGATCATGGTCGGATCGGTCTCGGACCATGGTCGGATCGGTTCCGCATTGTAAATGGGGTGTCACCTGTGTTTCGTGCATTTGCGGTCGACAGAATTCCATTGTGATTTGCAACTGTAGGATCGTTCCCGCAATGTAAATGGGATTGCAAGTGGTGCTGGTGGATGAGTTTCTGATGGAATTCCATTGTGATTTGCAACTCTAGGATCGTTCCCTCACTGTAAATGGGATTGCAAGTGGTGCTGGTGGAGGAGTTGCCGATGGAGTTTTGAAGGAAGTCTCGCACGAAATGCGTTTTTGAGAGATAGCAGATGACGAGCTGAGGACGTAATACCATTGTGTTTTGCTAGGGATTGTTGCTAATCGCATGTGCTGTGGCTGCATTTGTCATACTATTGTCTTTTGCAGCTGGACTTCGTAAATCGTATTGGAGTGGCTGCATGAAGGCTGCCACAGTGATTTGTCAGCAGATTTTCTCCATTTTGGCGTCAGTGATTTTCCTTCTAAAAATCCTTTTAAAAAATGCTTCAAAATCGTCTTGCACAACAACAGTACGTGGTTGGACGACAAAGAGTCGGACGACGAAGTTCTCCGCAGACAATACCTTCATCTCTGGGAAGCTGTGCGGTCCTTTGAACCAGAGTTTGTTGATGCTGAGATGAAGCGCAGACAAGGTCTTGCCGCAGAGGGGTCAACTCTCGTTTCACTGCCGAGGGCTGGGTGTGCGTTGTTATGAACCGCATCCGGGTCTGAATTGCTGTGCTTCAGTAGCTTCGCCTTTCATTTGACCTTGCGAACCGCAGAATGCCTCTGTCACTTGGTTTTGGTTTCTGTGTGCGATGTTACGAACCGCACAAAAAACCATGATCGTATTGCATACATGTGAAAAAACATGCGCTGTCGTGGGAGCGGGTAAATGCAAGGTCTCACTAAGATCCGTTCAATGCTTTATGCAGCATGGGTTGGATTTTTGTGGTTTGTTGAAAGTGTGATTTTCTGAACCATTTCCTTTTTCAGGCATCAGACCTCAAGCTGGGTGAGATGGTATGTTTGGTGTTTATTTGGCCCCTGTTGGGATGAGATGGTTGGTTGGGGATCTACAATTTGGATGAGCAAGTAGGTTTCGTATTTCTTGGACCCCAGTTCGGACGAGTTGGTATGTGTAATTGTTTCGTTACTTCAACTATAGTTAATTTCGATCTGTTATATTAACGTTATGATGTTGTCGGGTAGTGCGAAAACAAAGAGATCTGTTATTCTAACTGCTAAAACAGCCGCCGGTTTCAAATGCTTGTGTTTTGCTGGGGATTGTTGCTAATAGCATTGTAATGGCTGCGTGAACTTGCTGCAGCTGGATTCTTTCAGATTTTGGCTGCTTTCATTTTCTATATTTAAATGCTTTATTAAAAACGCTTCAAAAATAAAGTTTTTCTGCTCTGGCGTCGAGATCCGGTTTTGGAGCTACAATTTCCGACGCCGTTGCGCGTAGTTCTATTGTGTTTTGCAACTCAGTCTCTGCAGATCGCATTGTAGTGGCTGCGTCAAGGTTGCTTCGTGCTGTGGCTGCATTCGTAATACTATTGTCTTTTGCAGCTGGATCTCGGAAATCGATTGGAGTGGCTGCATGAAGGCTGCCACAGTGATTTGTCAGCAGATTTTCTCCATTTTGGCGCTAATGATTTTCCTTCTATATTCTTTTAAAAAAAGTGCTTCAAAATCGTCTTTTTTTCGCTCTGGCGTCGAGATCCGGTTTGGAGCACAATTTCCGACGCCGTTGCGCGTAGTTCTATTGTGTTTGCAACTCAGTCTCTGCAGATCGCATTGTAATGGCTGCGTCATGGTTGCTTCGTGCTGTGGCTGCATTGGTAATACTAGTGTCTTTTGCAGCTGGATCTCGTAAATCGTATTGGAGTGGCTGCATGAAGGCTGCGACATGGATTTGTTAGCAGATTTTCTCCATTTTGGCGCTAGTGATTTTCCTTCTAAAAATCCCTTTAAAAAGTGCTTCAAAATCGTCTGTTTTTCGCTTTGGCGTCGAGAAGTCTCCGCAGATCGCATTGGAATGGCTGCGTCAAGGTTGCTTCTTGCTTTGGCTGCATGCGTAATGTCTTTTGCAGCTGGATCTCGTAAATCGTCTTGGACTGGCTGCATGAAGGCTGCGAAATGGATTTGTTAGCAGATTTTATCCAACAATTTCCGACGCCGTTGCGCGTAGTTCTATTGTGTTTTGCAACTCAGTCTCTGCAGATCGCATTGTAATGGCTGCGTCAAGGTTGCTTCGTGCTGTGGCTGCATTTGTCATACTATTGTCTTTTGCAGCTGGATCTCGTAAATCGTATTGGAGTGGCTGCATGAAGGCTGCGACATGGATTTGTTAGCAGATTTTCTCCATTTTGGCACTAGTGTTGTTTTTGTTGCACATAGGTTTAGAGCAGTGTGAAGTGTGGGGCGTAAAGAGTGCAGTGTGAAGTGTGAAGTGTGAAGGAAGCAGTGGGAAGTGAGAAGTGTGAAGTATGGAGTGTGAAGTGTGAAGTGTGGAGTGTGAAGGAAGCAGTGTGAAGTGTGAAGTGTGGAGTGTGAAGTTTCAAGTTTGGAGTGCGAAAAGTGCAGTGTGAAGTGTGGAGTGTGGAGTGTGCAGACTTTGCTTCGTCTCTCGCTGAAAAAATCAAACGGTTGTCGAGGGAAGGACACGGTCGGGACAGGTTGTCTTTGAACTATAGGTCATTTATGTTTGGGAAACTTCCGCCGCCGGCTTGCCCGGGTCTATGTGATAATGCTAGGGAATGCACCGGACCTTAGAACATTTGCCTAGAAAAATGCTACGTCGAGCTTTGGAGCCCAGGAAAATGAACTTCAGTTGGTCGTAACAAGGTGTCAAATTGTGTATCACAATAGCCAAATATGATGTGTCTGTTCGAGTTGAGTACAGTAGCACTAGGCTTGAAAGCTTTCTGTGTTCATAACGCGCTTGGCATATGTTGTACTCCCATGACCTCCCTTTAGAACCATGAAAGATTAACTCATTCACCGAACTCCAGCCCCTGGCCAATTTTTCCGCGGTGGATCAAACACGGTCTGGAAATTTACGAGTGGTAGATTAAATTGTGGGATCAAGAAGCAACGAGCACGAAGAAGTTGCTGTACTTGCTGGCGCCCCAATGCACCAAAAGGTGGCGAAAAATGCAACCCTGCCGCGTCAAGAGACTGACAAGGAGATCGAAATCTTCCCTTGCACCGTTACATCATCCTCGCATGTTTGTACTATGAGCGGCTGTAGCTTTTCGCATCGGCTGTTTCAAGGGACTCTTGAACGGTCTTACACGCAATGGCGCCACAATCAATGGATGCGCTTACACTTTCTCTACGATCATCCCCTTTGGGCCTTGGAGCAAGAGGGACCAAAAGGCCTGTGGCATGACATTTCCAGGCATGTCTAATTTTTTTTTGGTGAAAAAGTGTGTGGCTGTGCCTCATCAAACTATGGGCTTTGCCAAGTGCCGTTCGATGTGGCCAAGAGTGGTCTGCCAAGATATGCTGTGCATGTGCTTTCTTCTGCAGCAATTAGCCGTAATTGCCAAGTGGCAAGATTTACAACAAGATCGAATTGTCCACATTTTCTTACCGTCGAGCATAGAAAGCTTCCCGATGTGCTGTACCCGAGGATCTTTCACAGGCCTTTTCAATCAGCCTCTAGATAACGGTCCCACAATGAACAAGACTGCAGTGCTGTTAGACTTAGACTTGCGTCTTTTTTGTTTGTGCTTGGAGTGGCGTCAACTGGCGCTTTTCATGGCACTCGTGACACTTTAGACACCCAGAGTGGGAGGGTTGGGGTGCTTGTGGTGTCAGCTGAGGTTACAAACAGGTCGGCCCAGGCTCAGCAATATAGCAGTGCTGGAAGCCAATTGCCCCTGCCACATGCCGCTCAATTTCTGGCTCAGTTCGATTGTGAAAATGGTGGATACCTCAAACTGGCTATTCCACTGGGGAACCTGATGCTTAGATATGCTTAGCGTGGTTCCAGGACGTCTGCGGAACTGGAAACTGATGATAAACCATTGGATTTGCGGCTAGGCTTTACCCTACTTTCAGACACACGAAGCTGGTTTCTTTGCTTCTCTCTGTCCGGCTGTTGGCCAATTTTTTTATTGTAGATTCTGAGCGACACCACCAGCCTTGATTGGATGATTGGGGCGTTTTGTTTTCGCACTGGCCGCCATGCTGAACAAGCACGTCGCTGCGCCGCACGCAAACAGTTCACGCTTTCGTTTTCAAATGCGTTTCGCAAGCGTGTTCCAACCACACGAATCATAGAGCGTCCCATTCCCACTACTCCGGATGAGAGGCAATCTCCAATTTTTTACTGAGGGATTGGGGGGATGCTCAGTTAACCTTCAACATCAAAACTGAGATCTGGGAATGTATGGACTTCTTTTTCGCACCGGCCGCCATGCTGAACAAGCACGTCGCTGCACCGAGCGCAAACAGTGCAAGCTTTCCATGTCAAATGCATTTCGTAAGCGCGCGCGAACCACGCGAATCAAAGAGCGTCCCATTCCTACTACTCGGGATGACACGCAACCTCCAATTTCGATTGAGGTATGGGGGATGTTTACGGTTAAGCAACAAAAGTTGGTGTTCTTCAACATCAAAACTGGGATCTGGGAATGTATCCTATTCACCTCAGTCTGCATTTGGCAGTGGGGCAATGAAGCCGAGAACGTGGTGGCTTCACTGCACATGTGACACTACCTGAAACCATGGGAAAAAGTGCTGCAATTCCTGGGGCTGCAGGCCTCCAACTGGGGCGAAAGGTGCGAAAATCTGATGGATTTGATGTGAAATGTTGGATGAAATGTTGGATGAAGACATGAAGAAAATGAAAAAAGATTGAGGCAATGCACTTTCCTAACCCACACTCCTTGGCTGATGCCTTGACTTGGACATAGAGGCGAGTGCGAGTGCTGCCAGTGGGGCGTATCGCAATCCAAGGGCGGAGCACTGGCAGTCTTCAGGTCTTGGAAATCTGGGAAAGCACCGTTTTTGCGAAATCCGTGCGCTCTGCGAAATCTGGCCTGGAAGCCACGGCGATTATGTCCTGTTGTGTATCATACAGGCAACAGGAGGCAGCCAATGCGGGTCTCACTTAGACCACTACCGAGACCACTCAGTCCAAAGTGCGCTCCGGAGACTTCAATGCCCCGAACCGCTTCAGCTTTCACCGAAAGGCAGATGGGATGGCCATAGGGAAATCTAATAGAACTCACATTAAAGAACTAAATCTAGCTGCTCGGAACTGACACAAATATGCAGGTTTTTCAACTGCATCTGGGGCCTTGCGGGTCATCCCAGCTGGATGGCTTTCTGGATGAAGTCATAGCTATAACAGCTGGCATCCCAACGTCTTCAATGAGTGGCATCGTTGGATGACTGGAAGCAGTTCATTCAACTGCCAGATTCCCAAGAGGCCAGAGAAGATGAAGTCACAACTGAGCATCACAGCCATCACACCCGCCAAGCGGGCAACAGGCAAAAGCTTCGCATCTCAAACACTTCTCCTTTAAGTCCGGGCCGAGGGCCTCGTCATGGAACCAGGATGTCTGTGAGGTACTGATCGGACTGTGGCACTGAAACAAATGGCTGGCTGGCAAACCTTCAGTGCAGCTTTCATCATCACAACCCTGCTGACTTTGCTAGCCCTGTGCCCTACAGAGTTTAACATCAATTGATGATGATCACATGGTGCTTATCTGCTGCCTACTCTTGTGCTTCAACGGAGACTTCACCAATTTCTTCACCGAAATTTCACTGGGCACGCAGTTGTACCTGCAGCCACAACCGCACCTGCAGCCTAGGTGACTGTCACGACAAGGTGCAGCTTGTGCAATCTTACATACAGCCGCCCAGTTGCTTCCAATCTGCTCCCCTTAATCCCTTGGTGAAGCTGGGAAACCACAGGACCATACAGGACCAGCGGCGTTTCTTCTTGTTCTTTCATGGCCGGCCCTGACATCAAAGTTGTGTACCATTGAAGTTGCCAAGGTGGTGCTGACATTGTGCCACCTTTTCCGCTATTTCAACAACATGTTGCAACATGTTTTGAGGATATATGAACACTCAAGTTTCACAAGCAACCCTCCAGTGCCGATCCAGCACTCGGCTCGAGTTTCTTCTGCAGTTTCGGCAAGTGCAACTGAGGCTTTAACTCACCAGTCAGCATGGAGAATCGCAACGAACCTCGAAGTCATCGCACACCAAGCAAGGATGCTGTCTGGCTAGGGATCTCACAGAGACAGTCGACTTCGGCGCTGCGAACTCAGGTCATGGGGCAATCGTGGCAGATGGATCTGGAAGAAACACCAAAGATGTCCTGAGAAAGTGACTGACTAGCCTGCGCGCACACGTTCACACCCCGCCACTGTGGGCGGTGCCAACGTAGTCAACGAAACGAACCAACCAACAGCAGGGGAAGCGAGTTTATACAAATCAAATTGATGAAATGCTTCACATCCACTGAAGCGGTAAGCCTGTGGCTTGTCGCTAAAACCGATCCGATACGCTGTTGAAAAAACTCAACATTCACTCTCTGCACGGAGATAGTGGGGAAGAATTTGTTCACCCAAATCGTGGACCTCCTACAGCATCCTGCGCTCCCTAAACCGTAAAACAGACTCTGGTCTGCAAAGTCTAACCAGCCAGGGCTGGCAAGTGGGCGCCTATCTGCTGAAAACTGGCTTCAGGCAGACACGAAATACTGAATCCTGAAGCTGCTGGGGCCATTCGGATCAACATGGGCCGTTTCAAACAAATGCAGCTAAAATCAGTGAGTTTTTCCTCCTTTGGATGGACCTGAAGCAAAACAAAACCACTCTGGGATCGGCATCGGCGTCAGCTCAACCAACATCTGGAAGTCGCAGTTCATTGCGGCCAGGGGGTCAAAGCTGGAGGGGCTTAGTGAGAGTTGCTTACAGGAATTAAAACCAAACAAAATTGGGATTGGAAGCCAAACAAGGGGGGTCCTACTGTCTTCTCAGCATTTTCCCAGCAGTTGAGCGTTGCAACCAGCAAAATCTGCACGATCGAACCAGATTCTGCAGGTGTTTCAGAAATTTCATGCGTTTTGTTCTTTCATGTTTTATCCCATCAATCCTACGGCCCAACCAAGCTATCGGCGATCGCGATCTACGGGCATTGACAACTCGGCAAGTGAAAATCTGTAGATGTTCCATGCCACATTTCACTTGATTCTCATCCCAATCTTTGTTGATGGCATGTCGTGGTTCATATCATTCATGTGAGGTCTCATATCTCTATGGGTGGTTCCCATGTCATGGCTCATATCTCCATGGTTGGTGGAGTTTGTTGGTTGCCTGTGGTTGCCTTGCATTTCCGGTCAAAGTCATGAAGCACTCTGACAGACCGAAATGCCGCATGCCCGTTTCCTTTCAAAAGGCTTCCATTGCGTGCTGCGGGTGCTGAGGTGCAGAGTGATGGTAGCAGGATCACCCCGACCCCTTGGTAAAGACCAACTCCGTCATGGTGAAGGGTAGCCAGGATGCCCAGGAATGCTGGCTGGACTCCAATGGACGTCGGAAGAAGGCCGGCCAACCAGTCTCTTGAGGTTGAAGCAACTCGAAGATGCGCAAAGACGTGCTGTCCACCGCCTGAAGTGTGCGACGGCTGCCCGAGCAGGCCCACATGGCTTGGTTTGAGGCAATGACTACATGCTGGTTTCTGAACGTTGGTGCTTTGGAGTAGCAACTCCATCTGATTTCACTCTGGCTTCATGGAGTTGATGGCTCGGTGAATCACCTGAAAATGACCGAAGGCCTCAAAGAGGTGGCAAATGGAGATGAGGCCCCTGGCCAGTCCGGTGTCAGCTCAGCACTTGCCACAGCTTGGTCGACGAGTGTCACCGACATCACTTGGCTCTTGCAGCCACATTTGATGTCCGCGCCGCTGCGCGAGGGGCAAACTTCCAAGTCAAAGGCAACAGAAACAGAGTGCAGGCAGCAAGACTTCGGCAGTCTCGGCGGCTTTGGACCACTTTCGAGACAACAACACCTCACTCGCCTGCTGTTTAGCTCATCCTCTCGTTGCGGGCAAATCAAGTCAATAGCTTCGAACCAAACCACTGTGGAGCCTGGAAAGGTTAAGAATAGCATCGTCGAAAATCTGTAGTGAAACATCCACAAGCTCCAGCTATACAGCCCTCATGGTGAATGAGGAGATCACCGGTGAACTGCTACCTGTCTTCCATCCCATGATTTGAAACAGCAGCCACACGAGCGAAAAAACAAGCTTCTACCAAGCAAGTTAGCCACGAGGCACTGTGACACATGAAGGAGATGCGCTGTCAAAGGCTACGGAACTGCCTCATTGGAGGGTGTTGCAGTGTTGTGACAAGTTATGTAGATCTCCATAAAAGTTGCACTTTCTATACAGAAAGAACGTAGGAAAGACAAAAAACACCAAGACATGACCGCTGCAGAATTCGCCTCGCTCTCAGAACTACTCACGCTGACACTGCTGACACTCTCTCCAAATACCTTTAGGGATGTCCCCTTAGCCACTTCAATGGCTTGGAAGTTGACGAACAGGGCCCCATCCAAGCCTGGAATAACCACTGCTGCCACTCTCTGTTTGAAGGTTGGCTGAGTGGTGCTGGATTGAGGCATCCAAATGGTCTAAACAAATAGCCCAATGTCAGGAGTTTGATCACAACGAAAAGCATAAAGTGTCAACTTGGATCAATCCTGAAGCATCCTGAAGCTGGGATCTGTGATGGTCCCTGGTCAGCTGGGCTGTCCTCAAGGTATTCCACTTAGTCAGCGGCAAAAAAAACAAGCAAGCTCCAGCCAGGTGGGTTGCGTTTGAAACCTAGCACCGGCCACGATCCAAGGTCCCTCATGGATCGGTTTGGGGCAGGTGACAAGCAGGGCAATCAAAGCTGAATGAAAGATGGCGATGGTTGAAAACAAGTAACTGCAAATGCAGGTGCAGCTGGGTGTCATGAAAGCCATGCAAATCGCAAGTCATTGCTGGGCTATTTTCATGCCACTGCAAAAATTGCAGCCATGCCCTGTGGGAGGCTCTGGACCACTAATGGACTCACAGCACCTTGAAAAGTGAACTTTGCAAGACTTCATCTGTGTTTGTCTGGGCTTGCTTGGATATCTAATAGTGCTGCTATACGTGTATCCACCCATTCGAATCCATCTTGGATACGTTTTTATCCGGGATGGACTTTGGCCCATCTGAAGAATAGGCGTGTCCTCACAGCTGAGGACACGCACTGCGGCAGTAGGATCTGTGTCGACCACTTGGTATGATCAATCCACACCCGGTCGGTTTCACACCTTCGTAGCCGAGCGAGTTACTCGCCGAGTTGCATCTGCCAGGAAGAAGCCGCCATGACAAACACTTGAAACGAACCCGCCACCAATCTCGTTCTGCTCCATTCCCCAGCTCCAGATTTCAGCATCATCCGCCAAATCAACGCCGCAAAATGGGCTTGGTACAGAGGGGAGCCTGATTGAGAAAGATGCCCATGAACACTGAAGGCAATCTTTGGTCAACCTCACTTTGCCAGATGTTCCGGTGAGTCGTAAAGTCACCATCGCTTCAAAATTATGTCGGGGATGGTCTAAATTCTGATTTCCCTTTTTGATCCAAGAGAACTTCCGGCCTAAAGGAAACCTACCCATACCAAAGTGACCAAAGTGCTCGACATTTTTCACGACAGA